ACTCAGAGGGTGGTTGGGCACTGGAACAGGTTCCCCAGGGAAGTGGTCACAGCACCAACCTGACAGAGCTCAAGAAGCGTTTGGACAATACTCTCAAGCACATGGTGTGCTTGAGACAGTGAGGACAGTGCTGTGCAGGGTCAGGCATTGGACTCAGTGATCCTTGTGGGTCCCTTCCAACTCAGTGTAGTCTGTGATTTGCAGTTACAGGTAGAAGTCTCTGTTTCTAAGGGCACATTTTGTCACAGATGAAGGAAGATAGTTGTGTTCTGCTGCTTTACTCCACATGTCCAGCACATTCCTGCAGATGGGGGAAGCAGAGGCCATGTGGCTTGGCCTGCCATGGCAGCAGCTGGCACTGTCAGCGTGGTCTGCAGGGCCAGCAGATGAGGCTGCTGGGGCAGGGGCTGCAGGCAGGGCAGTGGGCAGAGCCACAGCCTCCCACCAGCCAGCCTGCAGCAATTCCTGCTGACAATGACCCACGTTTGGGTGAGCAGGCCGAAGAGGAGTGTTTGTGTCATAGCAACCCTTCTTGTCTTGTCACTTTGAGAAGGCCAGAAGTTCAGACCTGGACTCCCCTGCAAGGAGGGGCTGCCCAACACACACCTGCAATAAATTGTGTGTGCAACCCTCATTCTTAGTGATTTAGTGATGGGAAAAAGTCCAGACCAATGGCAGCACTACAAATTTTCTCAGAAGCCTTATCAACATGTTTCAGTCTTTCCAGGACTGATTCTGATGTCAGGGCAAGTGGGAAGCAGGGACAAATAGTTTCTTTCTTTGTGTGCTGCTTTCCCAGTACACATTTTGCCAGCCTAATCAGATGGAGATAAACACCTTGCCATAGACTGTGCAACTGACGTCAGCTTTTTGTGTGCTTGGAATGATGTCAGCACCAGCTTTGCAATGCTTTAACCTCCTGAGCAGAAAGAAGCAGAGCAGCAACTAACCTACTGCTTTGCACAAGCTGCCATGACAAGATTATTTCCTTTTGCCCTGCTGGCTACAGATGCTGGGTGAAGGAGGCAGGAGAATCAGAACAATGGGATCCACTCCTGTACTCAGCCAGTTTTTAAGAGGAGTCTAAACAAATTTAAATTGAGTTATATAAAGAATAAATGACACCTCTCAGCATAGTAGTGAGGCCCTTAAGAAATGGGTTCCACTCATTTACATCAGTGCAAATAATATCAAATTAATTTCTCAGAATTTACACTGCCATCACTGTAAATGTATTTCTCCACTTATTTGCATACACTCACCAATATACATAAAAATTAACAAGTTAAATACAGTCTAGAGTTTCAAGCTTGTATAGAGGCCTCTGGCAAGGCATTTCTAGAGGATCGAAATTTCACGCTAATAGCAATTGAATTCACATGTCAAAAAAGCCAAAATGGAGGCACAGAAACGGGTACCAAGAACGTAACTGTCAAGAACGTTGGGAAATACAAAAATCAGTTGCAGAACTGCCCTGATTTAAGGGGTTTTTCGGTTTCTTGTTTTGGTTTTCTTTAGAAATTTTCCTCAGCAGTTTCTCCTGTTCCAGGGGAATTTTACCATATTAGAGGTCATTTATACCCCACTTTACTTACACTTTGATTTCAACTTGTCTCATCGTGTTACCAATTTTCAACATTTGCTTCTACTGAAAGAATAGGAAAGTTACAAGCTAGTTAAGTTGTTAGCTGGACTGTCACTTATTAAATTAGCAAGTTTTTCATAGAAATCTTAGCCAAGACCTAAAGAATAAAGAACTGATTATTACTAATTCTTTTGGTATTCATTATGCTATTAGTCACAGAGCTCACTCATACATTTCCAAATTTCAACACAATCATTTCAGGATGAAGAGTATTATTTTTTTCCCTTCTTAATTTTTCCTTGGCATCAAGTTTCATGCCCTTCCTCTCCAATTGCCAGGAAAGCAGAGTTTGGGATTCAATAGTCTTGGGCTGGGCTTTTTTCAGTTTAGTTTTTTCTTTCCAGAAACACAAGTTTACCAAGGTTATTTCAGCTACAAGAGAATGCATTTTTAATTGACTTGTTTATCTCCATAGCACATGCACACCTCAGCAAGACTAAGGGATCAGGTTATATGACATCATGGTGCCAAAGGAATAATTGTCTCTTGTTTGTGCAGTCCTGAAGAAAAGCCTGTAGCTTGGAATCACAGAGTGCTGCACTGACAGAATACATGTATTGTAGTAAAAGAGAAGTACAACTTTTTTCTTTTTTTTTACATTTGGGAAGGGTAGAGAAGGAAGGGCTGGAGGGATTCCTAAGTCTGCCATGGGGTCATATTCTGTGAAATGGTTTTGTTTGTAGACATGGCTTTTCACCCCACACATTTGTGAGATGATCATCCTTTTCCCCAGGACTGAGAGGCAGCTAAGACTGTGTGACAGTCTGCTCAGCAAAATCCCAAATCCCACTGCAGTTGCTACCCAAATTGAGGGTGGAGCAGCACTTCTTAAGAAAGCTGTCTCAAGCATTTCTGCAGCAAGCAGTGCTATACCTGTGTACTCAACTAGCAGTGCCCATGAAGCAGAAATAACAAAAAGAGCTGGAAATCAGAATCACAAATTCCCCTCTTGGGTTTAGCTTTAGGAACAAGGAAGCTCCAAAAAAAGACACCCCTTCAGCATTTTATAAAACAGACTTCAGCTGCCAAAGGATGCCTCTGCAGCTTTATCCTCAAATAAAAAATTCACTGCAAACGAGCAATCATTAGTCAGCTGCATTTTTCGTATAATTACTGGCAGTGAAAAAGCAAGCGTGCAGGTTGCTGGAAAATAAGGTCTAACTACTTCCACCCAAACAGAACAGAAGCTGTTCACATAAGTTTTAGTGGGGGAGAGGGAAATCCTCAGTGCTCCCCTTCTCTCTATGACTGATTACAATCTGTTTTTTTTCTATAAAGCACATTTATTGTGGGAGTTTGATTTGAAAGAATTTCAAGAAATTAAACTTTGCTGCAGGCATACAGATAATTTAAAAAACTGATCTTCAAGTGTTTCTACATGTTAATAACATTTCTGGTGAGTGCTATAATCAAGTTCTAGTTCTCAATCTACCAACTGAAACACATGCCAAGAATTACCTAGGAAAAAATCATGTAGTTCCAAGTTAGCTAGGCTGACAATAAACCCTGGGCTAGCAGTTTTAGTGCAATAATCTTTATTTTGCAATGGGGAGTTTTGAGGCTGGGGGGTTTCTTTAGGGGTGACTGTCAACCACCTATAGCTTTTTGAAACTACAGAGGTGCTGAAAACAGCCTGCAGTGTGGCTGTTAAACCAAAGCCCAGTTCAAACTGTCTTTTCTTAAGAGACCAGGATTCATCTATTCTGCCTCACGTTCTCAAAGCATCTTACCACCCTACATGCTTTTATATATGTCACTACCTGCATCTGTTAATTTTTAAGGTGAATGACAAACAGAATCTGGCCTTAAATAGAAGACATTAAATTAGGAGATGCTAATTCAGAACCATCCTTTCTGGAATCGAGGTGCAAATGCAAGATGCACATTGCCCCAGGATTTTGGAAAGTGCAAATACCAGCTCACTCCACTTTGGTATCTCTCTTCATCAAAGGGTCTCCCAGTACCAAAGTTCTCACCACATTTCAATATCCTTCTTGAAAAAGGTAAATGGGTTTGGTAAGATGCAGGGACAAGCCAAAAGAAGAGAAAATAGAAGCCAGTTTTATTCATAGCAAACGGTAAAATTTTTGATGAAAAGGCTTACAGCGTTACCTTGTAAATAAATATAAGTGCTGTTTTCTCAGCTCACGGGACTAGGCAAGAGCCTGTCAGCAACACAAAAAATATCAGCTGAATGATCCTAACAGAGCAAACTCTTGCAGCACCTCAGACATTCAGTAAGAACACTGTTCACGACTGAACTTTAGTTAAATATGCACAATTTTATTTATTGAAGAGATTAGGACAAAAACATTAAACCAAATACATGACAAAGCACCAGAGGCAGTAAAACCCCACCATGCACATCACCAATCTTTCCTCCTATAAGGTACTTATAAAATAAAAAAAAGTCCTTCTTGACACAGCACCATCTTCAGAGTGTAAAAACATTACTCCTTTATATTCTTAGTTACCAAAATAGAACCAAGGCAGGTCAGCTGCAGCTAGCTTTGTCTCTTGATAAAGAACTGTGAAACATCCTCTTGAGAGTGGGACCATAACTTTCCTGCAAGGCAGGCAAATAGCATCCATACGTCAAATGCCAAGTAGCTGTACGCACATGCCACATACTATAATTAAGCACAAATTCAAGTAACATTTACATACTACAGAGTCCACATGTACCTACCCAAAAAACATGACCACTTCACAAAACGTATACAGGCAGTAATATCAGAACAACTGAGGTACTGGAAACACAAATATTTATGCCAAGAGATTTCAATATCATACAGCAATATAAAAGCAGTAATAAAAACATTTGCCAGTCTAAATCAAATAAAGCTATCTAGAAAAAAAAAAAAAAAAAAAAAAGAAGCTAAATAAAAAGTTATTTAGGGACAGAAATACCTGAACAGAAAAGAAGTGTGTTAACTACAGCATGTAACATGTCATCCCAAGTCAACCCGTAATTGAAGTACTGGCTTAATACATCACTACTGTGACATTTTCTTCAATAAATAGAATAAGTCTTGACAATACAAAAGGTGCATATTACTGTGTATGTTTCAAGAGGAATATCTGTAATATAAATGTTCAGCTTATTAATACCCTCTTATTTCTTAGTCTGGACATTAACAAAAATGAAAATCAAACAATTCTTTTCCCAAGTTTAAAGGAATTCAAAGAAAAAACCCACAATACTCTTCCTCAATAATAAAGAGCCCTCTATTTACACATGGGCTAGTCAGTAAAGAAGAGATTGGTTCTCAGATGAAGACACCATTAAGGGCTTTCTGCCCTTGCTAGTCATATACGTGCAGCATGGCAGATATGGAAGCCAGTATCTCATATCTTTAAAAAAAAAATTATACAGTTTTATTCTTTTTTTCTCCTATTATAGCAGTAATGCAGTTGAAAGTTCGAGTTATAATAGCTTCCTGCAACAAACCATTTGACACAAAACAGAACAGCCTGTTAAATGACAGTTACTTCCCCTTAAGGGAACAACGCATTAAAATGTCATTTCCTGACAAGAATATTAAGTAGTTTATTTAGAAGAAATGACTTGAAAATAGCTATCAAGAGACATGAACTGAAATTTTGCTTTTTTTTAGCACCCACTTTTCATGTCCGTCTTTGTGCACCTAATTTTTTTCTTGTATTAATCCCATTAATTATTAGACATCCGATTAAAAAAGTTAGCCAATTGTATTTTCCCTGAATAATGGCTGAAGTTGAATATCTAACAGTGCGATGCCAAGATGTGAGCTGAGGCAAAAAAGTTTCTATTTGTTGTGAGTTACCACTGTTTTTAATAGAACAGAAACAGGAGTGATACAGCTGCACCAGAATTGGCATGTGCAGTCTCCTTGGCTCCAAAAAGGTGAAGCTACAATTGCTCCATGCTGCCTTTTCTCCTCCAAATCAATCTAACCTGATAGCAAGCTCCCCCCGCCCCCCCAATCTGTCCCCATGCTACATTTGTTATATTAGCTCCTTGTGGAGGTTCCTTCTCAATCCGAGGACCTCTGAGTGTCTTTTGCTACCAAGCTAGGCTGATGCAGGATGTGATTAAACGCGGTCAGGAAGGGCTCCTTCATGTGTCCATCTCCAGGTTGTGTACCTTCTGAACACCAGTCTTTGTGCTCAGTTAAAGAATGGGTCCAAGTCTTCTTCCATGTTGACATCAGGCACCAGCTGATCTGATACTTCCTTAGCACCATATCCTGAATTCGATACATTAAAATCTGTAGAAAACCATGGATGGTCCAGAATTTCCTGTGAAGTCAGCCTTTCTGATGGCTCTCGACGCAGTATGCTACGTATGAGGCATTTTGCCTTAGGGGATAGAGTTTCTGGAATGTTAAACTGCCCACGACGGATCTTGCTGAACAGGGAACTAGGCTCAATGTCATGGAAAGGATAGCGTCCGACCAGCATGGTATAAAGCATGACACCTAGACTCCACACGTCCGCTGCTTTGCCAGAGTAGCTGCCATTTGTGTTCAAGATCTCTGGACTCACATAGGCTGGGCATCCATGCTTATCAGAAAGAGAGTCATCATTTCCTCTTAAAATATAAGCATCTTCTAGGCTTTCCAATTTCACTCTAGTCCTGTGGGGGGAGGGGAAAAAAACAAAACATAATACTATCAAGGTAAGCAAACATCAAACACAAATTCTGACTGTTGCAATTCTATGGTTATAATAGTCATACTCTACAAAATTTGACAACTGCAGAAGTGCATCAGTTTAAAATCCCACTCACAGCAGTCATTACAGATAAATTGATATTGTCTCTTCCATACTGGTTAGACACATATAGGGAATACTGCCACACATACAGCTAGAGGATTTCAAATACAGTCACGTCCAGTAAACTCATTAATAAATTTAATTAATAACTCATTAATAAGTTCTCTTAAAAAGAGAATAGGAACTGCCATATTCATGCTTTTGGTTAATTTTACACAGACATGATTTCCAAAAGGGGACATAAATCTCAAGATCTTTTCTGAGCTGGATGCACTCTAACCTACCCATGTAGGATTCACACCCAAATACAAACCCAGCCCTAACTACACAAGGTTATTTTGACACCCGTCATGCTGGCAAAGCCACTCTGCACACCTGTAGTTCAGCAAGGTTTAAGAGTAATAAAATGGTCACTCTGACCCTAAATGATCCCTCTGACCAGCCAACATTTTCCTTTACCCCAGCAATTTTCAGAGAAATTAAGAAAGAGCACTTTTAACAAATTTCAGTCTTCCCAAATAGAATTTTGGGCAAAGGGAGATCAGGTGAGCTGAAGGCCAAGATTAACAGCAAGCTTATCTACCCAGCTGAGCCAGAGGAGCTTCTTGCACTGGAATGAACAGAGAAGCTGGCAAAGGACTTGCAGAGATGACAGGAAAGCCTTATCTAGACTGCAAACTCCTGCTGCCTGCAAAGCACTGTGAACTTGTCATTGTGCTGCAGTAATTATCTCTGCAAGGGAATTTTCTTCCCTTATGGATATCACACAGGAGCAGAAAAAAAATGATGCAGAGCTGCTTGTCATAGCACTAGCTGAACATAACCTTTCTTTCCCTTCTCACTGCTAGGCTTTTTATCTATATTTAAAAATCTGTCCCTGTTGGATGCATCCAAAGGATTACCAAGTACCCTTCAGACTACTTCTCAGCAAAAGGTGGTTTAGAGAACAGTCACTACAATGCAACAGGGCTTGTCCAGTGCCATGGGATTGCAGAGTGATCTAGCAGTAGTGCAGATTTTCCTTTCAATAATTTGGGGTCATAACTCAACTTTGAGTTTTAGTGCCCTCATCCCTGAACCCCACAGGTCTGTTGCCATCACTTTTAGCCCTGTGACACGGCCCTGCTCTCGTACCACAGACATTCACAGGCAGGGACTGGACTTCATCCCAGAAGGCAGAACCTGCATCTCTTGACTAAACCACGTAATTTAACAGGCATTAAAATAGACAAGGAGAGCCTTGTTTCTTAAATGTTTACTGAAGACAACACTGATTGAGCCTGAGCTGCGAAAGACATCTGGGCCAGCTTTGGCTTAGACTTAGTTCCAGGGCAGCTCAGCCCTATCTTTTTTGAACCAACAGAAGAGCATTTTACTCCATGGAGTACTCCAGAGGCAACTGTGCCATAAACTTTCATGACACTTGGACCTTTTCAACAGCTAAATAAGTTTACTAGCAGAGGTGAAAGCCCCTCTGGCAACGTGCCCCAAATGAGGAAGTCATAAATACAGAATTCCGAATACCTGGCTCCCAAGCACAGTGTGTCAGGGCAGCTCCTTCTCTCCTGAAACAGGCCAGTGTTTGCTCCTCCAGTTCAATGCTGATGGGCATTGCTCAATACACCTGCTTCCTCATTAATTACCACTGCCATCCTAACAGTACTTCTGGCCATGGACAACCCCCTCATTAGCACTCAAACAATACTTTACAGCAGCAATGCACCACACAGGAAGTGGGCTGCAAGGAAAAACTTCACTACAATTACCAAGACCACAGAAATTTCCCTCTGCACACAAAGCAGAGGGTCCACAACAGGAGAGTGACTTGAGGAGAGTCCTGTCACAGTGCTCAGCTTTGACACATTCCTGCACCTGCACAGCGTAGGAAGAGAAGCAAGGAGAAACGCCCGGAGGAAAAAAAACATGCCAAAGAGGGCAGAGAACAGAGAAGAGGAAATGAAAGGGAAGGCAGGGACATGAGTTGTGGTTCCATTTGCATTGCCCACCTCAGTTTTTCCATAGAAAAGCATGTCTAGCAATAAAACAGTGGGGCCAGATACTCAAACATGCATTAAGTCACTGAACTGCCAGACAGGAAAACATCGACTCACTCCTGCTAACTAACAGAAGCAGAACACACACACAGGGAGTGGGGCAGAGCAGGCTATTAATAAACAACTTCCAGGAGGGAATTCACCCCCACACACGCTCGCCTGCCATCCCAGTGTCAACAACACAGGGAAATGTTGTTTACTTTCCTATCCTATTTTACATTTCTGGGAGTTGCCAAAGACTTTAGAAAAACAGTTCAATAAGAAGCTTTTATATTACATAAAATTATTGGCATTCCCAAATCTCTCATTTCCTACAACGGATACAGTACAAAACCACAGAGAACAACTGCAAGGTGTGTCAAAAACTCTTTTTTTTTTTCCAAGAGAAGAAATAATTTCTTGATCATAAAAGAGAAGCAGCACACAAAAGCCATATCCCCATCTTGCTTTCCTTGCAAGGTGCTGCAGCCTCCACACAAAACAGCGGGTTTTGTTTAAGCAAGCAAATGGAACAACAGCTGGCCCTTATCTGCCTGCTCCTCTGTAAGCTGTGGGCAAATGAAAACACTCAAGCCAGGTTTTTCATCCTGCTGAGCCGACAGGCTTTGAGGAAACAAAAGGTCCCAAATTAAACAAAAACACAACCTTCAGTCCTCTTCCTCCTGGTCAGCCCCAAACCCTGAGCCAGAGACTCCCTTGGGTGCAAGGTGCCAAGTGGTGAAATGGCTCCCCTGCAAGCAGGCAGTGCTCCTGCAGCACTGGGCATGCATTTCCCTGGCAGACTGCAGGGCCTGCATCCCCTGAGCACACACTGCCAGCTGCATGGCCTCAGCATGGCTTTCTCCTCTCCCAGCTACACCCAGGCACAACCCAGGTGTTCCCAGTTTGTAAAGTCCGGTGTCTTCACAGTCGATGATAACAAAGACTTTCCATCCATACAGCAAGGAGAGCACAGGGATGGGAAGGGCTGTCTGATTTGACATAGCTGGCAATAGAAAGAGCTCACAGGGTGGTTCTGCCAGCACCCCTCACCACCAGGCAGGACTGGGGCTGGGCAGACCCACTGCAGCCCATTTTCTGTGACAGATGACTTCACCCACCTCAGCCTCACAGATGGAACAAGGTCTGTGCAGTGCTACCACTGGGTACTGCACAGGTGTGTGTACACAGCAACTCTCAGTCCCCTTTTGACAGTCGTTCCACATCTTTCCAGGCAAGCAAAAAGCAGCAGCCTGGCTCAGAAAGTGCTATTTCCCAGTGCACAGTACCCCATCTCTGTGAGAAACAGCTTCCAGTTCTGCTGGCCTTCCTTTACACTGCATTTCAAGCATTGGCTAAAAGAGCTCTGCTTTCTGCAATCCAGTGATGTTTAGGGTTTGGTTTTTAGGTTGTTTTTGGGAGGGGAAATCAGGCAGGGAGTATGGAAGGGGATGAGAAAAGAGGGGAGTCAAAGTCTAAATACAGAGAAATGCAGAATGCTGAATGAGAAGCAATCTCTCTCCCCCACATGCCTCTCTCAAAAAGCACTGAAATCAAATAGCCATGAACAGGAATAAAAGCCAACAACAACAAACAGACCCTGAAAACTACAAGACGATTCTGAGAACACAGAACCTCCACAGAAAAGGGTGGGGAGTGCATCCAACTGCAGATTAACTGGACAACCCAAAATTTGACATTTGTTAAGGCAAAGGACAGAAAAAAACAAACATGAAGGTGTGAAATCACAACCAACTTTGAAGTGCCTCCCATCGAAGAGAGGAAAAAGGACAAATAAAAATAGTTCCCTAAAAACCTCTCATTCTCTAAGTAATTAACTCACATCAGTCCCCACAAGAGAAAAAGGATTCTCACAAAGGATCCCCAGAAGAGAAAAAAGTTCTCCAAAAGCACCAGCATTTGAGCTTGACAAACAGTTGCAACAAAATTAATCCCCAAAGTTCAAATGTAAGCTACTGCCTCAGCCGGATGAGAATACTGCAGGGCAACAAAGAGTTTTGCCAAGGCTTACGTAATTACAATACATAATTTCAAGTTTTAATGCAGACCCCGAATAAGCACTTGGAAAAAGAGCATTATGTATCTATCAGATCATTGATAAAACACTGCATTAGTTTAATGCATTAAAAAAAAATACAGCCCTGAATCATGGCTATTTAAAAAGGGGAAGCTATTCTGCCTATGAATGCTTTCCCATTACTGGTGAATGAAACCACAGAAGTGCAATCAGAGGGCAGCAGCAGCACTCGGACGGGAAATGCGTCTTTGTCCCCATAGAAACCGTCAGGGAAACCCATGAAAAACAATACCACTCTGAGTTTCTTATCAATATGCCATTCATTACTTGACTGCATTCAGACTTTGCTCTTCAGTAATGTAACAAAACATAATCAATTAAGTGTCTTCCCGAAGGTTCTCCAATGCAACCTTTGGCGCACTCACCTCTGCCTTTGTTGCACATCCCACACTTTTTTTCCAACAGATTCACATTACTCTTCCCTGCAGAGCTTTGGGACTATCAGCAAATTGCTATCCTGCCTTTTGACACTGAAACCAGGGCATAAGAATCCAACATTCACACTTGCTCTCCAAAAGCAAACAATTTCCATACCAAAATCAGTTGAATTATTCAGAGGGCTCTCAACTCATAAGGCAGGAGAAAAAAAATCTTTAACATTTAAAGCAGAGACAAGAACTGATAGTCTGAGCGTTTCAGAAGAAAATACCTTCATTGCAGTGAATAAGCAGTCAGCAGTAAAGGAGCCTGCACCTGAATCAATGAAAGCAGTTGCCTCTAGTCTGTCCC